TGTAGTGATCCTTCACTTGGCATGTTATTATGTTCTAAATTGTTATGGTTACTTGATGGGTGTGGAGCTTCAGGGGTTAAGAGGTGTGAGAGCGGGAGGGAGTGAAGTGTGGGGGATTTTGAGCTACAGAGAGTGTTAGCAGGCTGTTTTTCTTTCTTATTGTTGTTGGGCTGTTGTTTTGGCGTGGTTACGGCCAACAGTAACCGGTTGTGTGGAGTTAATAAAAAAGCAACTATTCGTCGGCACTCAAGGTTGTCTCCCTTGTGTCCTGCGGGACGCTACAATATAATAAGACAAATCCTACCAGCCATTTTATTAGGACAAGATGAGATGAAATCAAACTTTAAAGGGAAATTTAGCAATGTAGCATCAGTGGACAGGAACATGATGCAGATTAAAAATATAAACAGATAACAAAAAAGTATATGTGCAAAACGAGTAGTGCAGTTTTCTGATAGTCTAGTTCAAAGTTGCATATTAAAGTTAGTATGTTACAGATTACTATTAATATGTACTTAATCATGAACAATGAGGAACAAATGAATAGCAAAATATAAAGGAATATTTAATGCCTCTAGGAGAAAGAGTACTTTCTGTATACCACAGGCCCCTGGTCTGCTGAGCACGCTGACATATGCAGTTTGGAAAATTAGCCTTTCTGCACCTAATAACACAAAGTACCCTTTCTGAAGGAGCTTTATACTAATTCACTGGAGCAAAAATAATATTAGGGGCAAGTTAATATTGCTGAAGAAGTACTCAATTATTACAATGAAAAATATGTATTTACATTAGTTTCTACCCTGCACACTTATTATATTTGTGTAGAAAGGTGTTTTGTCAGAGGCTAGATAAATGAAATGTATCCCAGAACTAATCATTCATAAAAACCCATGTAGAAATACAGGAAAGTGTCAAATTACACTATTTATTCTTATTTTTCTGTTTAAATGTAATGTTCAGGTTAGCTGAAAATGAATGAAAGTCATTCTATATTCCAGGATAAATGTTAGGTTTACACTACACATACATTACAACAGCAGCATACAGTGGATTCTGAGAATATCCCTTGTCTTGTATACTGTTGTGTTTCAGTTAGTTTAACTCTTTCCTATGCATTTAAAATGTTAATACATTTTTCAGAAACCAAACATTTACACATTAGCACCAGCAGAGGGCAGGATAGCACCAAGAACTACATGATGCATATTTACATCATGCACCTTTCTTTACCAGTAAAAATGAATTATTTAAGTAATCCCTATCTTTTAGCTTTAAGACGTCCAGAAAGGAAGATGAGTTTCTTCAAATCACTGAAATAAAATACTAGTTTTTAAAATTTTCAGAAAAGCCAGATCACCCTGGAAACACCTCATAATTATTTTTGAACACAAATCATAAACACCTGCATCCACCACATCATACCACAGCATGGAGTAGATTTTTTTTATAATTGCTCTGGTAGTGAATACGTCAACTTCAGTTTGGTTGACTTCATTGGTTCTGGGACACTGTCTTTGGTAAGAGGTTCACAGGTCCTCAGGTGTACTTTATGGGAAAAGAAAGCATTGTTACCCATATATATTTGTGATACACATGCAGAAGCAAGTAACTGACAGGGTTCAGCCACGCAGAGGGCACGAGACATTTAGATAGTAGGATTCATAACTTCCATGTGTGTTTATACTTGGGTTATAAGTGTGGAATCCATATAAAACCCAAAGATATTTTTCCATCTTGTGCAACTTGCCTTTTTCTGTACAGTTGGGCTGTTGTCCACACTCATATGCCATTCCTTGCCAGTTGTTTAGAGGACTGTGCCTTGTATTCTGCACCTGTGCCAGATTCAGGGGTCATTCCCACTCCAGGCTCTTTAATGGGTGCGTGAAGACAGGCAAAATGCAAAAATGGATATCCATGACAACAGCTGCTCTTCTCCACATGACCACCACCTCCTGGTCTCTATGGAGGGTTATCCTGAAAGTCAAACACACACACACACACACTTACACGTACACAGATAATCATATGCAAGTGTCTGCATGGGGTTAACCAAGTAACCCTAGATACAAAGGGAGTGTGTCAGGGTGTTTGATAGTGAGCACGGCTCAGAAATCACATGGCAACAGAGCACTAACCTCATCTGTGTGAGGCAAGCCTTCTCTTTATCTTCCTCTGTCTCTCACACACAGACACACATACAGTATCAAACACATACACATATGAGGTGATTGATTTCACGATGCCCTTTTCTGATAGTAACTTGTTATAGTTTTGACAACCAGCATCTGTTTGACCTTCGGTTTTATTACAGCACTCTTTGCCAGACTTTTATTTCAATATTTCTATTTTAAAGCATAATTCCACTTAAGTACAAGCTGGTTCTTATGGTCCTAATCATTTCTATTTGTCATACTTACGTTACCTGAGATCTGAGAATGGAGAAGAAGATGCTTTATTTATTGTCATTGTAACATTGTGACACGTACAACGAAATTATGTTTGGAGCCAAGTGCCCCGGGCTGCTGCGTGCATACGTGCTGCCGCCATCACGGGCAATGGGGAGGAAGGTTCAGTGTCTTGCCCAAGAACACTTCGATATGTGGACTGCAGGCACGGACATTCGAACCTTGAACCCTCCGGTTGGGAGACGACTGCTCTACCCACCGCACCACTGTCGCCTCCCACTAAGAACATCACTAAGAAAAAAAACAAACTTGGTTAAACAGCTTGATAATAACCTGTCTGATCATCAGAATGTTTGTGTTTCCCACCTCATGCAATCTTAATGTGGGTCTTTCATCCTGTACCCAAATCTGAACAGTTATTCTGGTGAGTTTTTATCATAACTGATAGAAATGATGCCCAAAACTATTAAAATAAGACCCACGTTTTAATAGACAGAACTGCCCTTTAACAGATGTTATGAACAGTTAATGCATATGGAAAATGTGGATAACTGCTCCATTATTTCCCTTATCTTTGCCACAGTCTCTCTGTAAATGACATTTTATTTTTTCTGTCTCACACATCTGTCTTTGTCTGCGTTTATTGGGTTGCTTTGTTTTCTGGCTGTGGTTTACTCAGTTTTTAATTTGTCTATACCGTACTTTCTATATTTGTCTATTGCAGTAATCTGCCATTTGGTTGTCCATTTGTTTTTCCTTTGACTGTACATGCACATCCTGTAAAACATCCCACTGCATTTCTTCAACTTTGCAAGCAGTTCCTCCAGTCTTGAATATTTCAGTAACAGGGTGATTGATTGGTTCTGCCTGGGCCATTTGTAGAGTCAAGCAGTGAGAGTGCCATGTGTCATTTATAGAAGCTCCATGGGTGATAGCACTGTTTGGGCGTTTTCAGTGACTTTTAAAATCATAACCTTCTGCTTTCAATAAACCTCCAATATTGCTAAATCGAACACATCTAATTGGTCTGGTAATGATAGCTTCCAAACACATAGCTACACAGTGACCCAGCTCTGCTGCATTAGCCAGTGGGTGCAGGTGCTCTCCTGATGGCTGCTGAGCCACAACAGTTAATTAATACCACTCGAGTGTGTCAACAGAAGGGAAGGAAAAACTGCAGCAGTTGGCAGAAATAAGGATTGAGTGACTTTTTAAACTTCATTTTAGTTTTGGTGGAGGCTCATCCGCAGCCTTTGGGTAGAATAAATTAAAAGAACACCAACACCTTCATAAACATGCCCATATTTGTGCTTGTGCATGGTTGTGACATCACTTATATGAGTGTGTATTATAAATGTGACTAAAGTGTCAGTTTGTCATTTTGTGTTTACTTGTGTGAGTCTACTCGGCAGGCCTGACAACCTGTTAACTTAGATCTCTGAATTAGAAATGTCTGAGCTGGTGAATATTTTTAGATTAGTTGACATTACTTCTCTGATTCTCTTTCCTTAAAAAACATATGCATGCTGTATAATCCCCTGCCAGCAAACCTGTTCATAAAGCCACTCGGAGTGTGAGTGTGTGATTGACATGATGTGGTTTGCATTCCTGAAGAACAGCAGTGACCATTACGAAAGCAAACACACTTAAGAACATAAGCATGATGGAGAGCGGCTCCCAGTTGGTGTCTGCAAGCTGTCATGGTACCTTCATCTGTCTTCAAGTCTGCGCTCGCTTTCAGTGACACTAAATAATTACACACTCGCCCACACAGCCGCAAGACTCAAAATAATCAGTCTCAATAAAAATTAATCTGATCACATGCTGATAAAGTCAATCAGATTTTTTTTTTAATTTTCTACAAAAATATTTTACAAAAGAAAACAGTTTAAAATACACACAATCCACTTGGTTATGCAATAACTGCAGAATTCAAATATATCAGTCTATAGGTAAATATATCTTTACAGCAAGAATAACTCCAAGGGCTATGTTGTGACTTTTGTCATCAAACATTTTGTCCGACTGTCACAAAAAGGCTCTATGAACTCTATAACCTCATCAAAGCAATAAACAGGGATATCATTTCTTCTGAATATGATACAAAAGATACAATTTAACCAAGAGCTGGGAATAAAATGAAAATGATGAACCTAGTATGGAAACAGCAGTTTTTGGAGCTAATTTAAGGGATTTGGGTAAGGAAACTGGTTCTGACGGAGTCCATCCACCCACCCACTAAGGTCCAGCTCTCACAGTAAGACGTTTTCACACTGTCTGCAAGAGTAGGAGCCCAGACATTCATGCTTATCACAAGCACTTACGTCAAGTTAGTTCAGGCCGTTGACTAAATGTGGATTGGTGGGGGGGTTCTGGGATTTGTTAAAAGGTCAGTTCCACAACAAAACATTTTCTCATTTACCTCAGGAGGTATTTGCTGAAATGCAGATAGTTCTGGGTCTATTTCCCTGATTTTGAGAAGTTCAGTACTATAGAAGTGAATGGAAATTGTGGCCATAGTAAACCGAAATAACCTTAGAAAAAATCAACTGGACTCGGATTTCTAGATCGATCTAGAAATCCGAGTCCAGTTGATTTTTTCTAAGGTTATTTCGGTTTACTATGGCCTGGATGACTGAGAATCTGCACAGACAAATGGAAATTGTGGTGTGTGCAGCATTGAAAAATGATCTTGAGCCATCCTGACATTATTTTTGCAAACACATGCTGAAAGTTTCTAAAGTTATTTTTCAGTGTGTTGTGGGGTGGAGGCAGAAACTACCACGTAAAAATCTGCATGGGTAGATAGAGTTAAGTGTGGAAAATTCTAACACATTTTGAGCTAATTTTGTTGAACTGACCCTGTAATAAAACATCTGCTCTAATTTCATAAAATTGGCAACAGGGTGTGCATGTCATTCACCTTTGCACCTGCCTACATCCCAGGATGCCTTTTACCTGTCTGTATGTAATGTATGCTAATGTGGAGACATAATCGCTCTTACTCTTGAAATACATTACTACTGAATAACCTTTTTCAAAGTGGAGGCAGTTTGACTATTCAATAAAAAAGCATTGTGACTGGGCTGATGCCTATAATGATGACTACTTTAGTTGCCAGAGTCCACCAAATGAATTGTAAAATAAATAACAGCAAAAGTAGAGCAAAAAGATACCAAATTATATAAGAACAAAAATATTCCAGTTGTTGGATTGGCTGTGTGTCCACTGGCCTTCCACTAATGAGTCTCTCTTTTGCACCCAGTTTAAAAACATTGCCCTTTGCTTTGGCATCATGACAGTTCAGTGCAGAGGGCCAGAGACAGCATCCAGAGAGGTGGCAACAGCCAGATGGGAGACGGGGCAGGGCGAGCACCTAAAGGCGAGGCAGTGTCAGAGGTACAGGAGCACACCTCGTACCCATTCTCTGCGTGGGCTGGGCGATGGTGCACATTGATTCTTGTCTCCGTGCTTTTGGGCTCAGTGTCTGGAGAGTCCGACTGCATCTCAGTGCACAGTAGCCAGTCTTTAGCGATGAGGCGGGGGTATCCTGCCTCCACCTCCATGTCACTGCCTGGCACTCGCCAGTACTCCTTCCCCTTGAAGAAATAGGATGAGCCTGCAGGGAGACAGGGCACAGAGTATTAATATGTGTATATACAACATAGAGTAAAATACAATACAAGAATGTAGACTTTACTATTCACACAATGTGCAGAATTGTCATTGGTCCTGCTGGAAAACACAACAAGCACAGAACATATAAAGCAGAGCAAGCACTCTTAATTTCATGAATCAGTGATCCATGGTGCAAAGTGTTTATGTTTAATACTTTCACAGTGTTATTACATTACCCTACATTACATCTGTTTGAGATACACTGGCAACAATTTGAAACAAGGTGGAATTAGAAAAGACACATATCAGTGGGTGGTTAAAGGTACGGCCATTATGGAAAAATCATTTCTGTGTTGTTTCCTATAAAGGCTGTATTAATACCTAGGTATCATCAAGTGATACTCTGCTTACTGGAAATGGATGCTCAGAATCTCAAAAAATACTATGTCACAGACTCAAATCTCCACTTTGCACAATGTGCTCACATAAATATAGAGCCCAGAGAAGACTAGTCTTATAAAACTAATACCAAGAACCTGTTAAGCAGTCGGCCTACCGGCTGTTTGGTTGGCAGCCTCACTTCTCTTCATCCAAAAATAACAGATACGATATTAACAAGATATTACTGTTTTGCTTCTTGGTAGGTGTTGAGCGACTGCGACGCTGAAATCTGAAGTGGCAGATGTAACCTGGATACACTTGGATGTTGTCCATAAAAAGTGAGATGTAGCCATTAACTTTACTAGTGAAAGATGCAACATTGAGTGCCCACAGAGAGAGAGTGAACAAGTGAACATCAGCGGGAGCACAAACAGTGTTTAAATTAGACTTTTCCAACAGAAGGTAAATTTTGTTTTTCTCATTGGAGGAATTTAATTGAAGCATTTATTACAAAATTAAAACAACAAAAATGAATGCTTGTGATGAAAATACCACTTTGAACAAGAGCACTCAGAGGGCGCATGTACCTCCGCCAAGGCACAGCATTTGCTCACGCAAATGGGTCCCTTCTGAAAAATGAGATCCAGAACAACATAAAATATGTCTTATAATCCTTGAGCCGGATCAGATCCGGATAATCTTTTAGGTCATACCCTGCATCTTTACTTGAACATTCCAAGGTTCTATCTTCATTATAGACCAAGTTCTGGCAGAAAATGTGCATTGAATGTGGTTTTCAATGTTAAATTTGCTCTGGTGATAGACATTGCCATCCTACACATGTGTGTAAAATTCCAAACAAAAATGATTTAGATAACTTTTGACAGAGTTATGAATGTCTCTCTTAAGATTCTGCCCCATGTTAAAAGTGATTTTTTTGTAACCTTGACCTTTGACGGAACTAAAGACATAACCTCTTTGGTGAAGGTAAGAAAGCCTTCAAAATGCATTGTGCCAGTATGAAAAGTAGGTTTAGTGTTTATCAGAGGTGCTCACCATTAAGTCTGGAGTAAATATTCTTTGTAGTTTAATGCTTGTCACACAAAATCTATACAGAATAACAGATCTCTCTTTTGCCATGTTGAACACATGAACAGCCCTTGCATTAATCCAAGTGTTGGAGGAAATATAACAATGAGATGAGAGAAAATTTGAAAGATTACATATACAGTTTACTACGGTTTACTTCTCAGTCCTGGAGTACACCTGTAGCCTGACAAGAATATTTACCAGAAGTGTTTGTGCAGTGATTTGGAAGCAATGCCTGCATGGCTCTTTAAGATATGCCTTGGAGTTCAAGCTTTTTGCTATACAGAGGCAGCTCTTTGCTCCACATTTCTTTATCCGTGCTTTGATAATAAATGCCAGACATATAGCAGACATAATCTCCTCTAAATAAGGTGTGTACTTTTAGGTAACTCAGCCTCGGAGGAAACAATACGCTGCATTTACTCTGGCCTTTATTTTTAAGTGTTCAAACCACAGGAACTCATAAGACCTTCAAGGGCAGGCACATTTTTACTACACAAACCAGTTTCTATTGATGACTGTTGCTCCTAAAATGTTTTTTATGCCTTGGCACTGGCGACATCTGAGGCTGGAGACATTATGTTTTTGGGTTGGCCTGTCTGTACATCCGTACAATTCTTGTGAACGTGATATGTCAGGAACGCCTTTAAGGGAATTTCTTCAGATTTGTTGTAAACCTCCGCTTGGACTCAAGAACGAACTGATTAGAATTTGGTGGTCAAAGATCAAACGTCAAGGTCAGTGTCATCTCACATCTATCCCGTTCCCATGAATTTGACTGGTTGGCAGAGGCACAGAACCGCAAAGTGGCAAGTCTAGTTCAGTTGTTGCTTTTATGATGTTCACAGTGGATAGGTAGACCAGTTAAAATGGATAAAGTGTTCAATGTAAGGTGAAATGGAAGTGGTGCTGGTCTAGGTCATTTTCCTGAGGGGGTGAAGGTTTAGAGCACCTAGTACAGTCTACCTCCTGTCTATTTTTGTTTCCTCAGGATGTATTGGAGTTGGGCTGCAGCTCGTTGCAATAAAAGGCTTTATAGTGTGCATACACACACACATTACTTCTGAGGACCACGATACATTTCTCGCAGCCCAAGTTCCAACCCTTGAACAGTTCTCTGAAGTGAAGCCTCACCATAATGTCCTCACTTTCTAGTAATATCCTCTCTCTAAGTCTAAAACTCAAATTGATCCTCACAAAGATAGAAGTGCAGGAGTACACATGCTCACAAAGTAACTGTCCTTATTCATTTATCACTATTATTGGAAGATCAAGCCTGTAGGGCTGAATGCTGCTTTGTTTTCTTAAAATTCTTCTTTTGTTTCTTCAGAGACTAAAAGTCCTAGAACTGTCAAAGCTTATGAATAAATTTCAAATCTCGCCCACTACTTGCTAATAACTTCTTCTTCAGATCATTTGACTGAAGATAAATCACTGTCCATGCTGAACAAATTAAGTGGATGTTGAGGACAAGTTCTCATTTTTTTTCACTATGGACTTCACAGTAATTTTGTCTGAGAAGAATGTATGTACTGTTTGATCATTCCTAGAGCCAAAACATGAGGCTTGTTGTTAGGGTGAAAGGATTTTACTTCATGGTGTCATCTGGCCTTGATGGACTTCTCTGTTAATTCAATATTTAAACACTCAAATTAAAAGAGGTGCCTGGTGTTAATGTATTTTCTTTTCCATGACAGCACCTAAACCAATAATACATTACTCCATCTGTGTCCCTACACTGTCTGTGGCTTTCTGCTCCAAGCCCATTCATTCTTACTAAAGACATACATTTAAAAAAAACTGTTACAAATATATAGTTTAATTGTAAAAAAAATGACATTATCCTGCATAAGATAAGCTGAGAAACTTGGGAATTAATTTCTTTTTTTTTTTTTTTTCCCCCTCGATGATGTCAAAGCCATCCAGTTCCAGGTACAACAAAGCATGAACAAACTATTTCCATGTATGGCAGACTCATGAACTCCAGTGCTGCCTTTAGCTGTTACTGTGATCTTCTTTTTAAAATTTTTAACTCAATGAGAATTTTGCATTGTGCCTTTGGAATCATCTCAGCTCAGCGCCCACTTCTACGGATAGCAGTTTGAGAAGTAAGTTGTTTCCATGCATAGACAATTTGTCTAACTGTGGACTCATGATTATTTAAACTTTACTTTAACCCTTTCATCCTTTCATTCTGAGATCTCTGTTTTGTGGTTCATATTATGCTTCTTGGAAGCAGCAAACAGCTTTTTTTATGTTAAAGTAGCTCTAACTCTGACCTCTAATCTTTTATAATTGATTGGACTCCAGGTTTGCGAACTTTTGACTCCAGGTAGGTTTTGCTGATGTCATTAGCCAAAGGGTTCATATACATTTTCCAACCAACACTGTGAATGTTTGAATGATTATATTCAGTATAGACAAGAACAATATGCATGTTTTTAGTTAAAACAAATGTGCTCATCATTGTAACTCAGAACAACATCTGACTGTATGTTAAGACATTTTTACTTAAATGCAGGCCATTCTTGCTTCTGAATCTGAACTTTCTCTGCAGGTTAAAGATAGTATTCATTCTTGATAAATTTCTCTTTTGTCTCATTTGACCTTTTTCTTGAAATGACAAAGAGGCTAAACTATTCCTGGGTACCATATTTATGTCTGCGTCTATGATTATTATCATCATTACAGCTACATTAAGACCTTTTATGCTCCTTTTTTCCTCCACAGCAACCATTCTCCATGGTTTTACTGTCTTTCCCATTCTCTCTCTGTCTCCTGAGTCAAGCCATCTATCTTTCTAAAATCTCTTTTTTCTCTTATGTTGTCTTTACTGTCCTCATCCTCAGGTGTACCCATATCTCCTCTAATCTATGCCCCCCCCCCTCTTCCACACCTCCCTCACAGTCTGTTCTATTTTCATAACTAGTCGTCACCCTTTTCTCTCTCCCTGTTTGTTTCGGTCTCTTTTCTCCCTTTAATCATCCTGAGCTGGTGAAACAAATGGAGAATAAGCTTTGATGTGACTCCAGTCCCAGGTCCCATGATCTTTCTATATGTGCTCTTGTGCATGTATGCCTATAAGTTTACCCTTTCAGGCTGTGCGGTGATAAAGTCAGGGGAAGAAGTAGAGTTAGGACTCTGTGCCTGGGCCCTTCACACACACACACACACACACACACACACACACACACTGGATTGGAGCAAGCCCTCAGAATATATGCGCTCAGA